TCATAGTGACCCTGTACAGGATTCCCAAGGCTGTAAACCTTTACGGGAGCAGAAATCCTCATCAGTGTGGCAACTTACTTCTTAACAAATACTTAAAGTATATGTTGAATGTAATTGAAAATTCCAGCTCTTTGTTTAGTGCAGAACACGAAGAAGGATGATGAACCTGAAGGACAAGAGACTGAACTTTGGTTATATTGAAGGGTTTGGGTAGTGAAGGGGAAGACAGGCGCTTTGTTGTTGTTGTTAAGTGCCATCATAGCGACCCTGGATAGGATTTCTGAGGAGCAAGCTGGTGGGTTTGAACTGCCGACCTTGTGGTTTGAAGTCCAGTGCTGATCCACAGCACCACATCAGGAGTCCTAAATACCACAAGTGGGTGACTTTAACAAAAATTAATTTTCTCAGAGTTCAGGAGGCTGGAAGTCTGAAGTTAGGGTGCTTGCTCTAGGGAAAGGCTTTCTTGTTCTATGGGTTCCTTGAGGAAGGTCCTTATCTCTCTGAGTTTGTAATTTTGGCAGATCTTCATGTGGTGTCTCTGCTTCTAGCATACTTAAGGAGCTCTGGTAGTGTGATGGTTATGAGTCAGGCTGTTAACCTTAAGGTCAGCATTTCAAAACTGCCAGCTGTTCTGCCGGAGAAAGGTGAGGCTTTCTGCTCTCATAAAGATTTATAGCCTGGGAAACTCTATACAGGGTCACTGTGAGTCAGAACTGACTCCACGGGACACAGCCACCTTACTTGTGTAATCTCTGTTGTGTCTCAAAAAAGATTTACTTAAAATACACCCTACAGTAATCTTTTATTAACATAACAAAGACAACCCGCCCCAAATGGGATTATAATCCAAGCCAAAATCCACTGCCATAGAATGAATTCCCTCTCATAGCAACCCAGTATCGGATTTCTGAGGCTGTAAATCTTTATGGGAACAGAAAGCATTTCCTGCGGAAAGACTGGTGGATTTGAACTGTGGATCATGCAGTTAGCATTCCGTTGCTTATCTCGCAGCACCACCAGGGCTCCTAAATCACAGGCACAGAGGTTAGGATTACAACATATATTTGGGGGGGAACGCAATTCAATCCATAACAACAAAGATTGGGAAATTTACTTGCTCACTTTTTCTTTTCAGATCAAATGATTGATAAAACAAAGGTAGAGAAATCTGAAGCCAAAGCTACAGAACTGGAAAAAAAGGTGTGTATGAGGCATCAGAAAAGTTTATTTGTGGTGTATCTACCTTTCTATGAGAATTATGGTTCTTCTGACATGTGAGTCTATTATAATCTGTGATGTTTTTGAAAGCATTCTGCTCACAGCAGTTGTTCCTAGGGGAAAACTTTCCAGTATAAGTTACTCAGTGGAGAAGATGATGTGGCTGTGATCACAAAGAGCTCATCAGTGCCTCTTAGGAAAGTCAAGACACATGACTGTCTCAGATTTACTTGGCACCGCAAGTCTCTTCCGTTAGAATGATAGGAACTGGAATATGTCTATGTTCTGTGTTCTCTTGAGTTGTTACAGATTATTAGTTTGGGTAGTGAGTTCTCGATCCTGAAGACTATTGGGACTGTACCACCTTAGCTGCCCTGATTAAATTATTTAAAACCTTAAGTTTTTTTAGTCTGACACCAAAAATAGAAAGATCATTAGAAATTGTCCCCTTTTCCTTTCACTTTGATTTTCAGGTCAGAATCATGGTGCTATTTTTTTCCAGGCATGGCTTGAGATATTGGTCAGTGAGCTCAATACATTAAGTATTAGCATAAAACTGCAAACTATAGGGATGAAAATGTGTTCTTTTTCATGAGATGAAGAGCTTGATGGGAGCCTGATTTCTTTTTCCTTTAGCTGGACTCAGAGTTTACAGCCCGACATGAGCTACAGGTAGAAATGAAAAAGATGGAAAGTGACTTTGAGCAGAAGCTCCAGGACCTTCAAGGAGAGAAGGAAGCATTGGATACTGAAAAGCAGCACATTGCCACAGAGAAACAGGACCTGGAAGCAGAGCTGTCTCAGCTCACAGGAGAGGTAAAGTTTGAGCACGGAAGGCTGAGTGATGACTAAGTGCCGTCAGCAGTCTTAGGGTGATCGTGTATTGAAACAAGTCAGTCATTGCACTCCTGAGAGTGTTCAACTACTAATAGTTCATCTCATTAGGTACTGCATGTTTTTTTGAGTAATTTGCTATTATTTTGTTTTGTTTTGTTTTTATTTTGGAGGAAATACATGTAGGATAGAAGTCCTGGTGTGGTGCTGTAGGATAAGCAAGGTCGGTTTGATCCACAAGACCGGTAGTTCAGACTCACCAGCCACTCCTCAGAAATCCTATACAAGGTCACCAGAGTTGGAATTGACAGCACTTAACAGCAACAGCAACATGTAGGATAAGCGCTGAACTGCTAACCACAAGGTCAGCTGTTCAAACCCACCAGCCACTCCCTGGAAACCCTATACTGGGTTACTGTGAGTCCAAACCGACTCAAGAGCACTTAAAAACAACAACAAATATGCAATATAAAATTTAGACGATACAGAAAAACAGAACAAAATTAGTCACTCATAGTCCCACTCAGAATAACAGTCTTCTAATAAATTTAGGAATAAAGACTAAATAAAGTATTCACAAATTGGCTAATTTTGGCTTACGTTGGCATCTCTGAACAGATTTATCACCACACATTCTCATTATAAATTTGTTTGAACTTTTTATTGTGAATTTAATGAAGGTTTACAGAGCAGATGATCAGTTTTACATCTAACAAATCATATCTTTATCTTAATGATTACAGTCTCCTCCATGTAACAATAGCTAATCCCTCTTCCTCCCAATTTCCATGAACCCTATTTCTATTTCCATTACACCTCGTTCCCAACACCTTTGAACTTGTCCCCAGATAAATGATGTCCTTTTGATTTTGATGGTTGACTAGTATTCCATGGTGAGCATATTTTACTAATTTTGTTGTTCCCACTATATTCCTATCCACTGCTTGGTTGAAAATTGGGCCACAAGAGTGAGTTCGTTCTGCTCCAGACCTGAAGGGTGACTAAGGGCCGTAGTCTCTTTCTAACCAGTAAGACCAGTCTTTTTTATAATTTTGAGTTTTGTTCTACATTGCCTCCCACTCTATCAGGGACTTTCTAATACTGTCCCTTTCAGAGCCGTTGGTAGTGTTAAATAGGCACAGTCTAGTTCTTCTGGTCTCAGAATTTTGGAGACTGATGTTCACGTGTTGCACTAGTCCTCTGGACTAATTGATTCCAAATATCTTCAATTTTCATCACTCTTCTTTTTTTCACTCATGACGAGACCAATAGTTGCACCTTTGATGGCTGTTTCATGAACTTTTAAGAGTCCTGGTGTGGCGCTGTGGGTTAATGTGCTGGGCTGCAAGGTCGGTTTGACCCTAATGTCAGTGGTTCAAGCTCACCAGTCACTCCTTGGAAATCCTATATAGGGTCACTATGAGTCACAACTCACTAAAGTGGGATGTGGAACATTTTCTTCGTGGTCTATGTTATGTCAGTTGACTGGTCTTCAGATTATGGTCCTGAGATCCTTGGCAACTTGTTACCCTCAAGATGTGTGATAATATATAAGACATTGTCATTGTTTTGTCCCTGTATACTTCACCACATTGATAGTTGTGTTTGCAGCATAAGGAAATCCCCATGTACAAATAGTTTCTGTCAAACCCTTATATATTTGTGGGTATTCCAGTTATAAATATTTAAGTGACCTATGATATATGATAACTTGATCACTTAGAAGATTATGTAATTATCTTAATAGTATACATGTTATTATTGTGTAGGCAGAACATTTGATTTCACATGAGCTTTATAAATTCTAACCAAAGGTAAGTTTGATGTAAAGGTTGAAGTTGTCTTTTTAATGGAAAACAAGATGAACTAATCATATGAAGTCCTGAATTCTGGTTTTAGCTCTGCCACTAGATAGCATTGTGACATCAGTTAATCATCTCCTCCATATATAAAATGGGAAGTTTGGATTAAGTAATTTATTGGGTCCCTTCAAGCCCTAGGAGTCCCTGAAGTGGAGTGAGATGTGATTGATGTTTCTGTCTACAGGTTGCCAAGCTGTCAAAGGAACTGGAAGATGCCAAGAAAGAAATGGCTTCTCTCTCTGCTGCAGCAATTGCTGTGCTTCCACCCGAACCCAGTGCTAATGTTCCCCCTGCCCCTCCTTTCCCTGGTGACTCTGTCACTGTTGCCCCACCTCCACCACCACCCCCTCCTCTACCTGGAGTGATTAGCATACCACTTCCACCTCCTCTTCCTGAAGGTTGTACCTTAGTTCCTCCACCTCCACCCCCTCCTCTTCTTTTGTCTGGGACTGCTTATATCCCCCCACCCCCTCCTTTGCCTTTGGGTGTTGGCATCCCTCAGCCACCCCCTTTGCTTAGAGATACTGCTATACCCCCACCTCCTCCCCTGCCTGGGGCTGGTAGCATCCCCCCACCCCCTCCTCCCCTGCCTGGGGCTGGTAGCATCCCCCCACCCCCTCCTCCCTTGCCTGGAGGACCAGGATTGCCCCCTCTCCCTCCTCCTCTTCCTGGTGGTCCTGGAATTCCTCCACCCCCTCCTTTTCCTGGAGGCCCTGGGATACCCCCACCTCCACCTGGAATGGGTATGCCTCCACCTCCACCCGGTGGATTTGGAGTTCCTGCAGTCCCAGTTCTGCCATTTGGATTAACCCCAAAGAAGCTTTATAAGCCAGAAGTACAGCTCCGAAGGCCAAACTGGTCCAAGGTGAGAGTTTCTGTCCATTTATTCATCAGTAGGTCTCAAAAAACCACTTCAGTTTTCTGCTTTGTGTTTTGTATGTGAGTGTCTTCCCTTTCTTGTGGTTCACATATGTCTTCAGAGTCTATAAATATTTAGGTTTACTCAGCAGATATTTATTTGACTTATCTTACGTGCCAGATGGAGTCCTGGTGTGGCACTGTGCACTAGTGCTTCAGACTACAAACACGTTTGAACTGCAAGGTCGGTGGTTCAAGCTCACCAGCTGCCTCTTGGAAACCCTATAGAGGGTCGCTATGGGTCTGAATCAAATCAATGGCACTTAACAACAACATGTGCCAGATAATCACCATGGAGAGTTCTATAAACCTCTCCATGTGCTCTGTGAAAAAACCAAATTTATCATTAAGTTAATGTTTTTACCTTTACTCTGAGAATGAGTACCATGGTAACATGTTTGGTGGTTATAATCATTTTACTGATAATTGTTGATCTGAAAGTCATGAATTTATGAATAATACCCCATTCTTCTGCTGTGCATAGGGTTGCTATGAGTTGGTACCAACTGGATGGCACCTAACAACAACAACAACAACAATAACCCCATTCTTGGTGTGGCACTGTAGGATAAGTACTGAACTACTAGCCTCAAGATGAGTGGTTCAAACCCACCAGCCACTTTTTGGAAACCCTATACAGGGTCTCTATGAGTTGGAACCAAATTAATGGCATTTAACAACAACTACCACCAGTATCTGAATTACTCAAATTCTTCCATGGCATGGTATTGTTTCCACTATGTGTTTGAAACCCCTTTGATTTTGAGTCCACCTTTTGCTTCCAGAAGCTAACTTCAGTTAAAATAAAGGGGCTTGGGGACTTATTCAGAAAATCAACAAATTTGGTACCATTAGCCAAATTGACAAGGAAAAGCTAATGTAGAAGTAAAGGAAGATGTGAAATAAAGCCTCAGTGCTGTGAAAATGAAAGGCTTTTGGGGTTAAGAGGAGGATACGTAGCATAACTGAAGCTGGGTGTTGAATAATCACCTGATCCCACCATGCTGAGCACAGCTGTCCTATGTCTCAGGTTCCTTCTGTTACAGTATGACGTTGCTCATAACTATCCAGCCACCTCTTTTGCTTCTTAATCAGTTTTCAGAGATGCAAAGTAGAGCACTCAGCTTTGTGACTCTTTTAACACCTTGCCTGTATCCACAGTTTGTTGCTGAGGACCTCTCCCAGGAATGCTTCTGGACAAAGGCAAAGGAGGACCGCTTTGAGAACAATGAACTTTTCGCCAAACTTACCCTTACCTTCTCTGCCCAGACTAAGAGTGAGCACCTTCCTCTTTTGCACAAGGGTCCATTTTAGGGCTTAGAGCATCTAAATGAGTTTTCTGTTCCCTTCCCTTCTGTGAGGGTAAAGGTGAAAAGAGAATGTTAGGTGGTAGAGAGGTGGGTTTTCCCATTAGGAAGAAAATTAGTTATTTTTGTATTCTGGAATACTGGGGTTGGAAAAGAAAACTGTTGGACCTAGTTATTTTCTATCAGTATAACTTGTGGAATATGAGATTAAGATGACGGAAATGCAAGTGGGCCTATTTTGATGATGCCATTAATGGCCCATCTTAAGACTTTGGTGCTTAATAAGGGTTGGACAGAGTCTTAGCAGCTTAGGTGGCTGAGTGACTCACTGCAGAGTACCATGTGTGATTCTTTTTCTTTCTTCCATTTCTCTCTAATATCTGATGCATCTTTCTGGCTGGCCCTTGGCTCCTACAGCTTCCAAAGGTAAGAATACAGAAGTTTCCGGTTTGTTCGAGAAAGGGTTGAAATACATTGTAAAGGAATTTCTCTTTAGAAAACTGAGACCAGAGATTAAGGATTGATTTCTCTACTGCTAGGGGTTTTTTTTATTTTGTTTTGGTTTGATTTTTTTAACTTTCTGGAGTCCAAGAGGACCAATCACTGTGATGTTAAATAATAAGAAGGAAAGTTATTTTAAGTATTTTAAAGTTTAAGTTAAAACTGCCATATACATGCTTTCTCTGTGGATGGTGTCTTAAATTATATAGTGCTGCTGTAACAGAAATACCACATGTGGATGACTTTTAACAAAAGAAAAATTCATTCTCTCACAGTTTAAGAGTCTAGAAATCCAAATTCAGGGCACCAGCTTCAGGGGAAGGCTTTCTCTGTTAGCTCTTGGGGAAGGCCCGTCTCATGAGTCTAGGAGAGTTTTATCTCAGCAACTCTGGCTCCAAAGGACACACTCCACTTCTGGTTCTTCTTTCTTGGGATAAGAGGTTTTCTCTGCTTGCCTCTCTCTCCTTTTCTTTCTTGTAAGGTAAAAGTTGATGCAGTCCACACCCCAGAAAAACTCCCCCTACATCAGAGTATGTCTGTGACCTAATTAAGAGGGTTAGATCCCATCCTAATCTCTGAGATCACAGGGCTGATCCCATCAGATCCCATCATGGCAGATGAGTGCATCATTATGTAACTCCCACATTCCATCTTTTCATACTGCCAAACCACTGAGAATTATGGTCTAGCCAAGTTGACACATATTTGGGGGAGACACAGTTCAATTCATGGCTGATGGTGAGGAAAATGTTAAGTAATAATATTGCACCTGCATTATATTCAAAGTGCTTTAATATAAGCTACCCTGTTTGACCTGCAAAGCTGCTTCATGAGATAGGCAGAATGTATACTGTCTCCATCCTGGTGTCTTGATCCCTGGCCTATGTCTTTAGTTTTTTCCTTTAATAAATTGCTTTTTGTATTCATCTTCATATGTTCTTTTTTATTTTAGAAGACTTGTCTCTTTTGTCCTTTGCTTTCTTCCCTTCCTGATTCTTGTAATTTTGTACTGTTTTGTGATTGGGCACTTGTAGTTATTGTATCTAAGGGGTACAGCATTTGAAAGATCATGTCATGTACCTAATGACAGTTATAGCCAAATACTTTTATAGTTCCCCTTTTTCTGGCATTTTGGTTTTCTTTGGAGTTTTATTATGACCCTAATAATGAAAACTAAGTGCAACTTTGGAGCATCCCGTCCACCCCACCCCCACTCCCGCCCCTGCACAGTAAATTAGCATTTTGGTTTTTTAAACTTTTGATTGTGAATTGAGTGAAAGTTTACAGATCAGATCATCAGTTTTACAGTCAACAAATCATACTCTTTGTTTCATCTCAATGATTGCAATCCTCTCTATATAACATTTATCCCGTGTCCTCCCGATAGTACCTATTCCCATTCCACCCTCCTTCCCATTCTCTTCTCAACTTTATCCTTAGGTAAATGCTGCCTTTTTGATCTTGAATGCTTGAATGATTGATCATTCCATGGTAAGCATACCTCACTAGTGTTGTTATCCTCCCTGTATACCTGTTTAATAATTGGCTGAAAATTGGAACATGAGGATGAGTTCCTTTTCAGACCTGAAGGGTGGCCGAGGGCCATAGTCTTGGGTTCCTCCAGTCTCATTCTGACCAGTAAGTCTGGTCTTCTTTTATAGTTTTGAACTTTGTTTCACATTTTCTCCCACTCTATCCAGAACCTTCTAATGTGATCTCTTTCAGAGCAGTTGGTAGGCACCATCTAGTTATTCTGGGTTCAAAGTTGTGGTGACTGATGTTCGTTTGTTCTATTGGTCCATCGGATTAGTTGATTCCAAGCATCTTCAATTTCATCACTCTTTCTTCCGCTCATGGTGAGACCAACAGTTGCACCTTAGGTGGCCATTCATGAGCTTTTAAGATCCTAGGTGCTACTCACCAAAGTAGGATAAAGAACATTGTCTTTGTGGATTGTGCTATGCCAGTCGATCATGGTGTCCCCTGAGACTATGGTCCTGAGCCCTAAGGCTCAGAAGCGCACTGCCTTATGATGCTTAATAATATCTAAGAATTTTCATCATTTCAACTTCTGTACACTCTGCCACATTTATAGGTATGTTAGGAGTTCTGATAGTGTAGTGGTTATGAATCGGGCTGCTAACCTCATAGTCAGCAGTTCGAAACTACCAGCTGTTCTGCAGGAGAAAGATTAGGCTTTCTGCTCCCGTAAAGATTTACAGTCTTGGAAACCCTGTACAGGGTTGCTTTGAGTCGGAACCGACTCCACTGCACATAACAACATTTCAGCAAAGGTAAATATTCATGTACAAATAACCTCTTGCAAACCCTTTTCTATTTTTGGGTGTACTCCCACTCTCCTCATACCTATTCAGCCAATATATCTGACCTTGTATCTGCCCACAGAACACTGTTGTTCCAGGGTTTTGTCTATAATTCTGTTTGTCTCTGTCCCCTGTAGCCCTTGCAGGCCTCCCCGTGTCTTCACCTGTCTTTATGTACACTTTCCTTAGCCCCTTTCCCTTTTGCACTGACTTCAGAGAGGTGTTCCAGATTCTCTTAAACACAGTGAAGTAGGTCCTGCAGCACCCACTCTTGGTCAGAATTGACTATGAGGCAAGATAAGATGGAAATGTCTATAGGTTTTGCATTTGAACCTAAATGGTGAGAGTACAATTTGGTCTTTTCCTTCTTTCTTGTCTTCTTAATTAATTTTTGTTTTCTTCCTGTATGATGTTCTTGATGTCATCCTTCAGCCCTTCTGGTCTTCTGTCATTAGTGTCTACTGCATCAGAGCTGTTCTTGAGATGGTCTCTAAATTCAAGTGGGATATGTCCAAAGTCATATTTTGGCTCTTGTGGGCATGTTTTAATTTTCTTCGGCTTCAACCTGAACTTGCATATGAGCAGTTGGTGGTCTGTTTCACAGTCTGTCCCTGTGTATTCAATTTGATTTCTGTATATGCCATCTGATGAAGTCCATGTGTATAGTTGTCTTTTATGTTGTTTATAAAAGGTACCTGGAAGGAGTAAGTTATTGGTCTTGCAAAATTCTTTCATGTATTCTCCATCATTTTGTCACCAAGGCTATATTTGCCAACTATTTATCCTTCTCCTGCTTCCAACCTTTACATTCCAATCACCAGTAATTATCATTACATCTTGATTACATGTTTGATCAATTTTCTTCTGAATAATAGTTGTGTTTGTAGTCCCGGTGTGCAGCTGAGGGTTAATGCGCTGGACTGCAAAGTCAGGTTGAACTGCAAGAGTGGTGGTTCAAGTTGACCAGCTGTTCCTTGAAGCCCTGTGCAGGGTCACTATGAGTCAAACAGACTCAACGATACTTAACAACAACAGTGGTAGTGGTATTAACTGGTCTTCCTTGTAACCGTATGAATATTATCCTATCACAGACAACATTGTACTTCAAAACCATGAAATGTTCTTTTGGATGATCACTGTGATGCCATTCCTCTTGAATTTGTCATTCCTGGTGTAGTAAAACATAGGTTTGTCACATTCACAGTGGCCAATGCCTGCCCATTTCAGCTCATTAATGCCTAGGATATGGATCTTTATGTGTTCCATTTCATTTTTGACAACTTAACATTTTCCTGGGTTCATACTTTGTATATTACATGTTCTGATTATTGATGTATGTTTGCAGTTATTTCTTCTCATTTTGAGTTGTGTCCCATCAGCAAAAGAAGGTCTTGTAAGCTTTACTCCATTTCTATCATCACAGTCAACTCTACTTTGAGAAGTCATCTCTTGCCCGGTCATATTTTGAGTTTCTTCCAACCTCAGGTGCTGATTTTCTGGCACTATATCTGACAGTATTCTTTTGCTATTCATAATTTTTTTTCTTCAGGCACGATATCTGACAGTGTTCCTCTGTTATTCATAATAAGCTTTTCAATTGCTAAATAAACATTCAAAAGTAGACTGCTTCTCCTTCTTCCTAGTCTGTCTTAGTCTGGAAGCTCTGCTGAAACCTGTCTACCTTGGGTGACCCTGCTTTAAAATTTAAAATACTGGTAGCAGAGCTTTCAGAATCACAGCAACACATAGCCTCCACAGTATGACAACCTGCCAGACAAGTGGTGGGTTCTGAGTGTACAGGCACACAATAAACACTGACTGAGCCCATTTTCTCCCCTCTTCTACTCTCGTCCTTTGTTTATTCTGTGCATTTGTATCACTACTGATTGTAAGTTGGATTGTCTGCAGTTTTCCCTTGTCATGTTTCTATTATTAATTTTTGTATGTTGTTATGATGTGCCATCGAGTTGGTTCCAACTTCTAGCAACCCAGTGTAAGGTTTCCAAGAGCAACTGGTAGATTTGAACTGCTGACCTTGTGGTTACCAGTCTAGTGCTTATCTTACAGCGCCACTCCAGGTTTCAAATTGGTGTATAATATTTTAAAAACACCCAAGCAAATCTTGTCTTTTGCTATTGTCATCAGTGTTGTCAGACTTTTAAATGCTCTGTCAACTCTCAACTTCTGCCCAAGAAACTGCTTCCTATTCACTAAGGTCTAACTTTCTTAGCAGCTTTGATTTTCTTTCTTTTTAAAATTATTCTTAGAAGCTTCTGTATCTTATTGTAAAAGGTATCACTTAACCAGTTTAATTTAGTTTAGTGGCAGTATTGATTTTCATATAGTAATAACCATCACTTATAAAATGCTTCTGTTTTGATGGAAATTTCTAGATTTAAAAAAAAAATCTTTAGTTTTAATTAGGACTATTAAGTAGTTTGGCACATTTTCTTAATAGCTCAATCTCTGTGGTGCTGTAGGTTAAGCACCAGACTGCTATCTGAAAGGTTGGTAGTTGAAGCCCACCAGCCCCTCCTTGGAAACACTATACAGGATCGCTTTGAGTCAAAAATTACTCCATGGCACTAACAACAGTAGCTG